GGTTTTCTTGTGGCGACAAGTTTCGGACTGCAAGGCTGGGGCGATGTACTAGTTAGTGGTTTGAGCTGAAAAGTGCATGCTGCGGGAGGAAGTCACTTCCAGCTGGTGAGTGAGAATCTTCGTGAAGGACTGATGATGAGCAATGTGGAAGTATTATGTCAAAGGACTCAAACCTTGCTACCGTGGAAGTCTGCTAGTTCTTTTTTTTTTGGGGGGGGGGCAATTACATCGGAGTCACTCAGAAGCTTGAAGCGGGTCGCACAGTGCTGAAGTAGAAATAAACCAATAACGAGTTCCGGACAGACTGAAGCAGTTTGCAAAAACAGCCATGATCATTGTCCAGTCATATTCGAATGAAGCGAGAAAATACCCGAGGATGACCAAACCATTGTACGGTGCTCCCCCGTAGTCCCAAGTGGCAAAGTAGATCATCAATCCGAACATACAATGGGCTACAGTCTTCCCCTGAATACAACGCACGGTCATTATAGCTGAATTTAGACTGAAAGATGGACCAAATTCAGCTATAATGACCGTGCATTGTATTCGGGGGAAGACTGTAGTTCAACCCCTTGTACAGGGCTACCCCTGATACACTAATCAGGGGATGAGGATGATTCAGAACACCCAATTCCAATTCCGCAGGTGTTTTATACTATTTATAGCACAGCAGCCAGACACCTCAGACTCAAAGGAGGAGGGGGAAGGACTCCCAATTTGAAATTGAAAACCACAGATAAAAGCACCCTTGCGGTACCACCGGCAAATTCCCGGCAATTCTGTGTAGACCCCCATACGGGCCCATAGTAAGCACGAACTCAGCCTGAAGGGCCAGACACCAATCCCACACAAATATTCAAGGTGAAGGAAAGTACACATACACATATGCAAGGTGGATCAAAAATTAATACTCGTTACGCGCATCACCCGCAGCATCGCTCCTCTCTGAGTACTTCACCCTACTTCTAACGTCACTTGCGCAAACTATGCAGACCAATCCAATTTATGAACAAACGCTATGAACACACCCATCCACCGACCAACCAAAACTCTAGTCATCTCAACAGAAAGGGCCGAGCACTTGGAATATCAGAAACAGTCGCCGTACATCAAGATCCTCGAAGCTGCATACTATCATTCGCATCAAATTCTGCAATCCCTTCCCCCTCCCACCCCCGACTGACAATCAATTTCACCAAACGGGACACTGTCCCGTAAAGCATTTACCAATCAGGTGAAAGTTCCGTGGAAGTCCGTGAAAGTCCCGTGGAATCACCACCTTACCTCCAAGCGCAGATCACCCCCACCCAAAACATATCCCCGTCCTCTTAGACACGAAACATCGCATCAAAAAATCAGGGAAAGCAAATGAGAGAACACCCCTCATAGGTGCCACGTTGCCCACCCATTAAATTAAATACGATCTACGGTCGTATGTAATTTAATTTAAATAAATGAGAGAACACCCCTCGTTACGTGCATGAGTGGACCCCTTCCTATGCACGTAATGAGGGGTGTTCCCTATAATCAGGGAAAGTAACTCAGTGCAATTCAAGCATTGGCAACAGGAACACCATGATCCTGAGAATGTCATGATCGCCAAAGTGGACAGTTCAAGAAGAGGACGACGTCGCTTGCCGCTACTTTCGACGTCGCTTGTCGCTACAAAAAAGTAAGGTAAGATCCTCCCAATCAAAGCAATTTTCAACCACGCACCAAAGTGTCGGTAGTAGGAATAGTAGGAAAGGAATTAAATCCCAGCCTTCTTAGAATCTTAGGCCCTTAGGGACACTACTCTCAGGCTGGGCCCAGGGTGGGCTCTTCTCGAAGTTCTCTCAAAACGGCAGGGCCTGGGCTGCAAAGTCAGCACGGTCCTGGGCCCAAGGATATCATCACGGAAAACAGCAAGCACCACCAAAGTGGACTTGGTATTAATAACATGCACCAACCGCAGCATTACGCCGCAAGCCAGGCTATTTCCAAAAGCTGACGTTATTGCCGCCCACGTGCTTACTTCCTAGTACACCCGAGACGCCGGGACCCACTCCACTAACCCGACCTGTACCATGAGCAGCAAGAAACAGTCACCGGTTCCAACCGAGCCGCACTTATTAGAGATGTTTCACGTCACTGCTGCTACGACAGAAGGGCTTAGAATAGTGATAACACCAAGGGAGGATACCTCAGAAAGGAAAGTTCCCCCCCATAAAGGAAGGTTCAAGGTCCCCCCCCCCCAATCACCTATGATCCAGTGAGCGCTATGATGCTGAAGAGTGGAAGCATGAGAAAGGGCGCAGACTAGCAATAAATACATAACCTGGTGTCGGCGGGTGATAACCCAGGTCACCGCCAAAGCTAACTCCAAGGCGAAACCCAGGCGTAGCGGGATTTGTTACCTCGTCAGCTACCGGCAGGGTCCGGCACACTTAGTTCCAGATTTGGGCCGAACGATGAGTCGGGGTTCAAAGCGTTGTCCGAGAATTCCCCGAGGGGGCGGGATCAGATTATTATGCTATCGAGTGGAAGCCTGGAAGGTGCAGGACAGGCGTAGGAAAGAGGAAAGACCTGCTTGTCTCCTTCTAAGCCTACTTGGTCCCTCTAAGCCTACTTGGTCCCAGGATACAAGTCCAGGACCTGATATGAGTAATACTCGAGTATCATGGCCAAGGCCCTGAGATGGCTCCAATTTTGAGAATGAGACACTGCAAAGGCAAGGGTTCCGCGTAGGAAGGGGTCCACCCGGCCCCTATAACAGGATAACACTTATTGCAAGGCGCCTCCCTCACCTTATATAGGTGGATTCCCACCTCCAGGGAGATCACCCTTTGGCCTCAAGTGACGTTTTGCAAAAGGAAAATAGTTACTTTGCCCCAAACCATCGTGGTAGGCAGCTTCCACTGCACACACACACACACACACACACACACACAGAGAGAGATAGAGATAGATAGATAGATAGATAGAGAGAGAGAGAGAGAGAGAGAGA